TCGACTTTCAGAAACTATTGAAATGTCCATTGTATTCTTCTGGAAGAACTTTCAACTTCTTCCCCGAGGTCTTTCCATTCTTTACTGTTGTCATTCTGACTCACAGCTCAGTCCAGAGCCTGCCAGGTGCTCAGGGGACTGACCTAGAGGAGCTTGTTTGGAGATCAGTGGTGACAGACTCAGGGACAGTTTAATCTGTTCTGCTTTCCCATTATCTCAGACAGGGTCTGGCACCCAGTAGGCGTCTAATCAATGCTGATGTATTAATGGAAGCCTGGGCACTGACTTCCAGTGTGGGGAAGATGGTTGCCCACGTGTGGCCATGGGGTTCACATACAGCCCTGGGGAGTCCTCGTCCTGTGCCTCCCTGTGCTAGTGTCTGAGAGTGCTGACAGCTGTTCTCTGCCTCAGGAGAAACTGAAGCCCGACTACTTGGAGGGCCTCCCTGAAAAGATGAAGCACTTCTCACAGTTTCTGGGAAAGCAGCCATGGTTTGTGGGGGACAAGGTAAAGGGGCAGGCAGTGGGGAATGAGAGTTGTCATAATTCCTGTGTCCCAGAGCTTCCAGGCCCCTCACCCTTGGCCTTCTGCAGATCACCTTTGTGGATTTCCTCGCTTACGATGTCCTTGACCTGCACTGTGTATTTGAGCCCAAGTGCCTGGATGCGTTCCCTAACCTGAAGGACTTCATGGACCGTTTTGAGGTGATGCTCCCTGTCCTCCTCCCCCTCTTTGAGGGGATTATTCTTTTCCCTTCCCTGATTTTTTTTTAGTCCTGGGGCTAAAGAAAGTGTAACTAGTATTTATTGAATTCTGGCTTCTCTCCTGGACCTGTGCTCAACATGTTATTAACTACTTCTATAGTGCCAAATTTGAACATTATAACATTCCCACGAGGTCACTAGAATTATCGCTTCCATTTTACAGATAAGGCAACTGGGAGTGAGCGGGTAATCACTGGCTCAAAGTCCCAGAACCAGCAGAGGCTGTGTGGGCTCCCTGTCAGCTTCCAATGGCAGCCTCCAATGGCAGCAGTCCGGGCTCTCCCCTTTTTATGTTAAAGGGAAAAGGGACACTATGGAAGAGGCAGGACATTTCAGGTGTGTGCATGTGACTGGCATTTGTAGGAGTGACCCAGGTAGGACTGAGGTCCATCTATACACAAGACACAGACAATATTCATACCTCATCTCCAGAAAGGTTTGCTGCCATTGGATCCTCACGTGGGGAGTCCTGAGATGCCACCAGGGCCACAGTCAGTGCTGGATTTGAGTGCAGATGTGGGTGCTCCTGTTGAGGGAGTTGATCTTGAAGTGTCCTCTTCCCTCCAGGCTCCCGAGTGTGCTCTATGTGAGGGGAGTATGCTTCTTTTAGCTCATATTCACTGCTGTTGTCTGCACAAGGCAGGGTGTCAGATGCAGTGGAGAAGCACAGATGACCACTTCCATCTGGAAGTGAGTGCATGGGGAGCCGCTGGTACACCTGGCTGTAAGGTGCAAGTGGTACCAGCTGGGTTCACCTTGGGGCAAATCACTGGTCACCTGTAGTCAACTTGTTTGAGATGTACAAACAAGGACAGATCTGGGGATCAAGGCATTAGTCCAGGGGTCCTCAAACTTTTTAAATAGGAGGCCAGTTCACTGTCCCTCAGACCATTGGAAGGCCGGACTGCAGGCCCCGGGACAAGTCAGCTGCTAAGCAGGTCAGGCAGTGGTGGCAAAAACATCTGGTGGGCCAGATAAATGTCCTTGGTGGGCCGCATGTGGCCTGCAGGCCTTAGTTTGATGATGCCTGCATTAGTCCATCAGGTCATTCAATGTTTTTCTTTCCCCTCCACTCAAGAGAGCTGCTATCTCAGCTGGTTCTCATTAGCTCTGGTTCTGGCCAGGCTGAGTGGCCTTGGGGATTATACAAGAGTTAGTGGAAGGAGAGAGTAGGGGAGACAGTTGAGGGCTGCAGCCTGTGACCTGGCCGAGCCTGGCTCTTTGGGTACACGAAGCCCTTGATCTCCTTGAACCTTTAGAAATTATCTGGGCACTTTGTCCTGGTAGAATCGTGCACAGGGCACTTGAGTGCCATCTGGCTTGGTTGGCTGTAGCAGCGCTATAGGTGAGTTAGGTTGGGGCACAGTGAGATTGGACTCAGGTACCAGTGGAGAGGTGTGGCATTTCTGCTTATGGGGAATAATTCAGCCTGGCCCGGCCTTCCTTTTGCTGGCCCACAGCCCTTCTCCACTTTCATTCTGGTTTTGCTGAGTCACTGGGTGAGATCTGGGCTCCCTTGCAGGCTACACTGGCCTGTTCTGAGCCCCTTTGTACTGCTGGAGGTCCCTCCCCTGTGTGGCAAAGCCAGGCAAGCAAGATTCTCCCTGTGACAAAGGAGAATGTTTGCATGGATGGGGAGTGACAGGACCTCATTTGGGGGAGTGGGAGAAGAGGGGAATTTGGCAGAAATCCCAGAACTGAAGAGGGATAGAGCCAGGACGCTTGCTATCCCTGTCCCATTACCAGCTGTGTGAGCCTGAGGAAGGAGCTGAAGCTCTCTGTGCCCCTGAGTTTCCCTTCAGATACCTGGTGATAGAACTGACCTGGTGGTAGTTGGGGGAGATTTCCTAAACCTACATTGGAATATCTGGTGGATAGAGAGCAGCCAGCACAGTAGTGTCTCTGTTAGTGTAGCTGTTACTCAGAGCTGCCACAGGACAGACAGGAAGAGGGCAGGGAGCTGAGCTGGGACCCTAGGAGGCTGGTGATGCTCCTGCACCTGAGCCCCCGAGGGAAGGCTGGGTGGGGGCCCTGCAGTGCTGGGCCTGCTGTGGGGCTGCTGCAGCCATCATGGGCAGCAGACCCTGAGCTCTGGCTTCGTTTTCCCCCTCTGAGGGCCTGAAGAAGATCTCTGCCTACATGAAGTCCAGCCGCTACCGCCCAAAGCCTCTTTACACAAAGATGGCCATCTGGGGCAACAAGTAGGGCCTTGTGGGGCCAGGAGATGGCAGCGAGGAGCCAGTCCTCAGCCTGCTGCCTGGGGCCCTGGAGAACAGTGGACTCTGCACCCTGTTTCAGCCTTCTCCTTCCTCTGCCCCTCTCTTCAT